GCAATTTGAGAGTGCACAGCCTGGCAAAGACTCATGAGGCAGTCATAATGTGTTGCTAGAATGGCTCTCGGAACCTTGGAGAAAGTAATGGCCCACATTAAATGAAACAGAAGTGCCAGAACCGCCATGGAAGACAGTGGAAGAAGGGATCAAAAAGCTTAGAAGAGAGGGCATGCTAGAGTGGATAGGCAACTGTGGGAGGTTGGAAACCTACTAGTGAGCTATGTTTCCCGGAAGGGCCTGGAGGACACTATATTCACCAAAGTGATAAGGAATGCACTGGAGAGAGGGGGCTCAGCACCACTGAGAAGCCCGCTGTGGCTGTCCATTCTAGGCCAAGGCGGTTAAAGGACATTCTGTTACAGAGCTGGACTCCATGGCCATTGGGATGATTGAATCTTGAAATAAAATAGACCAGGGAATGGTTCCCACCAGAGAATATCTATTGTGAAAGCACTAAGCAACCCAGCAGTAAGATAATTCAGATAGCTGGAGACATAATGGACTCATGAAAGAAACAGAGTTTGCACAATGGCCCTAGAGTATAAGCTACTGCTCACCAAAGGTCACATTGCTATTGCTGCAGCTAACTGTGCAGTGTACCCACACCAGAGACCAATGCTGATCTGGTTACTGGCACTATTCCTTGAAGACACCACGCTGCCTCTTGCCGGCAAGTTGATTATATTGGACCCATTCCACACTGGAAGGGCAGTGATTCATCAACATATATTCTGGGTAAAGAGTCACTTTCCTGCTCATAGGGCTTTGGCCAGCACCCTGTTCAAGATCTTACACAATGTTTAACGTACCAACATGGGATCCTGCATAACATCAACTCGAACCAAGGGACCCACTTTAGAGTAAAGAATGTGTGACATTGGGCACGTAACCAAGGGATCCATTGGCCCGATCATATATCACACCACCTAGCAGCCTGGTAGAGGGATAGAACAGCCCACTGAAGTTGCAGGCACCAGCTTGGAGCCTGATACCTTGCAAGATGGGACACCATCTTTCAGGATGCAATAAATAACATAAATCAATATANAAGCACATAGTCTGAACCGAACTCAGGATATCCTGAAAAGGTTTGCTACCCTCTTGGCATCTGTAATTTTCCCTGAATGATTCTCCTTGATGGTTTTTCTATTTCATGTCACTTTGTCCAAGTCTGTCTCTGTTGCGGAGCTTCTCCTTGCTGCTCCACTGACAATTCTACTTTGACTACTGTCCCTCTAATGTCTTTCCTTTTCCTAACTTTTCTTCGTTTTTCTTTTTTGCTCTTCTCTTATGCTTATTGTCTTTGAGTACTGCAGGGCTTAGAATTTATGGCACCAACAGACCCACAAGAGAGCAGCTTTCTGGCTGAAAGCCCCAGCCATCTTGGCTCTTGTTTTAAATTTGTAGCACTGCCTCTTCTTGACACTTTCATCAGTGTATCATAGATCTTTTGTGATAGATCAATGTCTACACATATACATATAAGGTTGACAACAGAGATAAGATGATTACAAAATGTTTTCCTTTCCTAATGAATAATTTTAGTATCAATTTGGCTGAGAGATATGCACTGAGGGTAAGACACTAAAGATTTGGTATGCTACAATACCTGAGATTATGGTTCTAGGGCTTCACTGTGAAGAAATGGGTAATAGAGCCCTTGGTATCACATGTTAGGGGCTCACAAAGTCCTTTATAGCTCCATTCAGAGCATTCTAGGCTCATGGTTCATTGTCTTCCTGATACTTGATGATGTCTGACGGAAGGCCTTGCACCTGATTACATTCTCAATGGGCTTTGTTGTGCCTGCTCCATCTAAAGGCACAAATAGCTACAAATTGTCAAGTGTGACAAGTATTTTTAAATACAGCACTCCCCTTTTAAATACGACAATCCATTTGCTGATCCAGTCTCATCGTCATATGATTCTGACGTTTAGCAGCTCAAAGATTCACAAGAGCAGAAACTGATCAGGTATCATAATTCCATTGACAGGTTCACTGTCCTTGCCAACGTTTACCATGTGCCAGGCATTCTAAGCACTTTAGAAATATTATTTCACTGAATCCGCACATTACTTCTAGGAGGCAGGTACTATCAACATCCTCGTTTTACAGATGAGGAAACCAAGGCGCAGCAAGGCTAAGTGAGTGCCCCAGGTCACACAGATGGGAAGTGGAGTGCAGCCACTTGAACGTAGCCCTGATCATTTTTTTTTT